TTTGATTGATATTATCCCAGAAGGAGAAAGTGAGAACTCTGCCTTGGTTTGGACTGACTGATAACTTTGGGACTGCTTTATTTTTTTTATTTTCTTTTGAATATTCTGGTTGTTGTAAGAAGAAAGAAGGGGAAAAGAAAAGAAAAGATTTATAATGGCTTTTTCTGTTGAGGAACTAAGAAAAGAATATGAACAAGCAAAAAAAAATGGTAAAGATGGTGTGGAAGAAGCTTTCCTTTTTTTAGAAATGGCGCTTGCTAACTATCAACAAACATTACAACAGATGAAGACAGCAGAGGAACAAGAAAGAAAGGAAGGAGCCATTTTTAATGAATCTCAGAATTTGATCAAGAAAGAAGGAAGAGAGAAAAGAAGAGAACTAAAGGACTTAAGATCTAAAAAAACATTTAAGAAAGGGAAAAATAAGGTGCAAAATCAATATGATGATAGTAAACAAAAGGGAAAAGGAATACGACAGAGAAGGGAAGCCAGTAAGGCAGAGGCTAGAAGAAGGGGGGGTAGAAAGGTTTGTTGGGAGAAGAAAGAAAGGGAAAAGGTGGAGAAAAGCTACAATGTTTTGAAATTAAATGAAAAAAAGGAATTTTTTATGGATAATGGATAAAGTATAATTTTTTTTAAAAAGATTTTGCAAGGTACATAAGATGAGATGGTAGTATTGTAATGGTTTAAGAGCTGATAAGAGATTAAAATGCTAAAATGTTTAATAATGATTGGCTTTAAAATTTAATAATAGGGGAGGTTTAGAATACTGTTTTAATTAAAGAGTTTAATAAGATTATGGTATTGATGTTATTATAAAATTTTTATTATAGTATTTGTTTTTAATATTTGGATTTATTGTCTAATTATGTATTTAATTATTTTGGATGTACTAGTTAGATAGAATGTACCAAGCAAAATCGGATTGGGTATTGGATGTTATCTTAAAGGTTAATTTGATTAACTTAGGGGGGAGATAGAAAGGCATCATACTCTGATTAATGATTTCAGGAGAAACTTATTTTCTTCTTTTTTATAAGGAATGAGACAAAGGGATGATAAAAAATGGACAAAAGATACAAATATAATGATTCAAACTAAGATGATTAATTAAGATAGAATTAAGAAGAGTGAAATATGTGGAGAAGTTATTATAGAAGGTTTAGAATGGTAAATAAAATAAGTAATGATATGTAAGATGAGCATGAATATAATTGAAGTCCATGAAGAGAGAGATACCTGGGTCCAAGTTACTTTCCAAAAAGATATTTTTTATGTTTTGTGTGTTGTGTGTATATGTTTTTTTGGGGGGGAGAATTAGTAAAAACTTGCAGAAATATAGAATGAGAATAATGGTAACTAAGTCAGAAAGAAATAGATGAAATAATAATAATGATATTGAATAAGAGTAAAGAGAAGTAAAGAGAAATTGAATAAGAGGTTTTTGTATGTTATATGGAAATGGTTTAAAACAGAATCATAATTTATCTGACTTGTTAAATTTACAATGAAAAAAGGTTTAAACATGTAATGAATAATGATAATTTGTGTGTTTTAAAAATTAATAAAACTTGTTTTTTAAAAAAGAAGAAGTTGTGGGTGTTCCATTGATGGAGGCTTTTAAAAAGAGACTGGGCAGCCATTGGTCTGAAATGGTATAGGGTCTCCTGCTTGAGCAGGGGATTGGTCTAGGACCTCCAAGATCTCTTTGAACTCTGTTATTCTGTTATTTTTCAGCACATGCAACACTGCTTAGTATCTTCTAAGGATCAATTAGATCAGGTCAAAACATCATATAAGGACAATGCCAATGATCATCCATACGAAGACTTTCCATTGCTGCTGGAGATTACAATTAATTTCTTAGCAATTTCCTCCCCACTTGAATGCCATATTTTTGCATATTTTTCCTTAATCACATATATTTTGTCCAATATCCAGTTAAGATTATATCTGACATGGAAAGACTTACCAACAGAGATTTATGCCATCATTACTGCAATATGCCTGGCATGGGATTATCATATCATTAAAAACTATTTTGAAAGTGTTAATTGTTGTAGAATAAATATCATATGTGTTGATGAGTGACAGTTTCTACAGCCATGCAACATCTATATTGTGAAGGTTGCATTAGCTTCTAATATTTGGGGGGGGGGGCACAACTTAAAATGTCCCCTGCTAGACCATCCTATTGAGATGAACTGACCAATCCAATTAAGCTAACTGTTTGGTGAATACTTATCTTGAGAAAGTGAAATACTGGTAGTTTCTGTTGTGGTCTACAGCAAAACTAAATCTCTTCAAACAAATAGAACTAGAACTGGAGAGATTAACATCTAGAGAGCCAACTCTGGATATTGAAATCTTTCCAGATGAAGGGGAAATTGTGAGGTACCCTATTTTCACTCTGGACAAATGTTTCTTGTAAATAAGCTGAAGTAATGAAAGTTTTTGTAGTTCACTCAAGAACTGAATGGCTGGATTGATTCCATCTAGGAATGGAATGGTGCTCACAGGACAGTAAGCTCAGATGAGCCCATTTCTTACTTATTTTTTGGAATTAATTATTCTATAGAAACAGGTTTTTTTTGTATGGTAGGGTAAGACTCCTTTTGGTGAGTTTTATTTTTTTTTGGATTACAAAACTAAAAGAAGTATTAAAGACTAGCTGGATACTCATGCTTTGTTATGAAACTATGTGATCGGGCTTAGTTTTTGGGGAAGAAAATAAGGAGAAAAAAAATCGCCTCTGCCTAACAGCAACCATTGGTATGCATCTGGCTAGTGTTCTATCAGTGTGTGAGAGAGTTGAGGGCTGTTTGGAAACTGAAGCAGTATTTGCTGTGTGAGCAAGGAGACAGCAAGGAGCCTGGGCGTGGCTTAGCTCAACTATTCTGTACTAAAGCTGCTTGCTACTATGAAACTAAAACTGAAACTCCTCTCCTGTGCTTGTGTTTTGCAGGTGGGGAGGGGGAGTAGAACTCCTTAGCATCAGAGCTTGTTAATAATAATATAGGAAATACTAATGCTCTGATGGTTATTTCAAAAAATCCTTTCTAAATGAGCGCCAAGAGGAGCATACATGACAAATTTCAAGTTTGTAGGCTTTATGGTTCTGGAGATTTTGTGATGATGCGTGAGTGGTATTTCACACACACACAAATAGATAGATAGATAGATAGATAGATAGATAGATAGATAGATAGATA